CTAAGAGAGAAAGAGAGAGAAAAAGAATCTGGACTTCACCTGCTATCATTAAACATTATGAAGTTTCTGAGATTGCAGTATGCGTTTGTCGATTCTTTGTTTGTTAGTGCACATTAAACTGTTTCGGCGCAAAGGGAAGACGAAATTTTCGCGAGATTCATCGTAATTACTGATCACGGGATCGGCAGATGTTTTCGCGCAGTCCGCACGCTACCGCGTGCATATGCAAACCGAATATCGCGCGTGGAATTTTAGCGCGGCCAATGTCGATGGAGCGCGGCCATAAATAATGAATAACGAGCGTGTATTCGGCATAGCGAATGACGCTACGAGAGTCAAAGCCTCAGCGTAAACCGAAGTCCAGATACTCGTCGGTAAGCTCTGTGAAGATCGATCTACGGGGAAAGAGAGAGCTGACTAAATGAACGGAAATCGTGCGCGGTTGCTCAGTGCTCCTCACCGAATGGCGCTTATTAATAGCCGTGTGCATCGCAGCGGATAACAGACTGATCGAGAGAACCTTTCGAAAGCGGGTGGGTTATCTTGGCGGATGCCACGAGGCGGATGGTTCAGCCAAAGATACGATTTCATCGTACGATGAAATAGACGAGGGAAGACGAGCATGACGGGTACGTCGTGCGCGCGCGGGCGCGTGATTGTTTTATCTTAAATTTAAACTGGACTAGGTCGGAGTTTAAAGTTTAAACATTGATTAAAAGGTATGTCGATGCAGAAGTTGCCTCTTAGCAAGTCTATCGGTTTATAAGGAACGTACACACTGCGACGATCTTACATCAACTTTGTCCTCAATTCTGTCGTCGTGCGTAAACTTTGTCTTTAATTTGTACCATTTAGTCGATGTACACGTGCAGACGCTGGGAATTTATTTTGAACGTGCACACAAAAGTGCACACAAAACGTGTATCACAAAAGATATATCTACTAGTATGCATAATCAATCAAAATCACCGTGAATTATAATCAAATGCGACAACGTTTCATTCAATTACGAATGTTTACTGTAAGAGACGCGGGGAAAACATTTTAATTATGAATTACTAAAGAGAACATTGATACGCACATGGTTCGATGTATTCAGAAATGCACACCATTACATTACTCACCGTGCGGATTATTGAGCACAGGCATTATTGCGCAATGGTCGATTATTGTAGATTGGAGTTTCCACAATACACTCGCGTACTCGCGGATTTTTCAGCATGCACATGCGGTGTAACAAGAATTCCTACGTTTCGTTTTTTTACGATCCTCACGAATTATCAAATTTTTACGATAAACAGCGAGGAGGCTTGCAATCTGTAATGGTCGGTCAGCTTTAAAGACGAAAAGGACGTGTCGCCCGATCGAAACCGTGGATGCACGGTGGAAAATATGATTCTACGGCGATAGATAATTCTTCTATGGAAAAACAATTTGCCACGTTGTCATCGCGGATACGTTTCCGTTGAAAGAGATGTATTTTTAACTTCATTTAGCTCGCCCTCGCCAAATGCGGTCGTTTATTTTCGTGAGGTACGGATTTTCCGAACACCAGTAGCCATAATTTTCTGCGCGAAATCGAACGTCGACGACATTAATCAATATATTATACGCGCAATATCTCGTATCCGCGTGGGCGGGCATCTCATTGTTAGATTTATACGAGGAGAAACTGAAGTAATACCGTTCGAGAAACAAAAGTTTGTTTACCTTCTTTTTATGTTTACTCCGTTAGATGCGTTCTATTTAGATTCGCATATCTGTTTTATTTATCTTCCGATACTGCGTAAAAAAACACAGACGACTATATTTGAGACAACGTAAAAGTTGAAGTTATTATTAAACAGTTATTGAACAACAGTTCGACAGTTTTCGTTACTAGCAAAGGCATTATTACGATCCCAGGATGCTGTTAGCTCCGCGGATCCCGAGTTTTGTTGAATTTATTTGGACAAGAAGTCATTCGCACGTAAAAAACGGAGTTGCGTTTTGTTACGCTCCATCCGGCTGCGAGGGGATTGCTCGTCTGCCGACGCATCGGTCATAATTTCAAAATAAACGATGTATTTTCATGTTTTAAGAGAGCGATTCTATTTTTTTGCATTCTGGTAGATGTGGTATATTTTAACACACGATTTTTTAACATATACGTATGCCCGAATTTATTAAAATATATACGAGATTGCAATGAGTTAAAATATTTATACGCGATAAATAAATACATTATATTAATAGTTTTGATCAATGATTCAATTCCAAAGTTTGTGTTCGTGTCAAAACGGAAGTACGTATGAAAGCCGAAATGCGCGAGAGGTATACGAGTTCATGGAATGTATGTGTGTATGTGTTTATGTTTGTATGTATTTACGCTCGATTGAATTTTCCATTTAAATTGCCTTGCAACTTCTGCATTTTAGAAGTTTGGTACTTTAAAATTCGACGATGAGGTAATATCGAACGCTATATTATCGATTTCCAAGTGTATAGTAAATAACCGGACGATTATCTCTTAAGAGAGGATCTCATTACTCGACTATAAATTCAATGATAATGAACCATGTCAAAATAGAAGAAAATTGAATTTTAACTCGCGTTGACTTTAAATCAAAAAGCGCAATTGGTTAAAAACTCGATGCAGGTGATACGTCTATTAAATTAAAACCTCTATCGTGATTGATTGTTTTCTATATGTGTTTTCTGTGCGTGTTGCTTCTCATCCGGTGTAATAAAACCATACGAGATATCAGTAACGGACAAATGAATTTTAAATGTGCAAAATAATATACATATTGTTGCGATGATAATTATAATCAATTGCTTTACTTTGCTTAATCAGTTGTTCTTTACTATTTATAGTTTGAGAGAAATATATATATTTTCTTTTCATTATATATGTTATTATACCTGAACATAATTACGGAGATTACGTCTACGATATATCGTGTAATTCTTAAATAATCCGATTGTGGTCATAATTGCATGTACCATACAATGTTTTTTTATTACAATTATACGTCTCCATATCAAGATATCGAAGAGTGTATCAAGTTGCCGGATTTTTCGGAACGCCGATAAAACTAATATAGCAATGCAAATGAACATAAAAATTAATATCTTCTTGTTAATAGTAATAGTAATAAATAATATTGTAGTAAATCTACATATTTGAATTTGTTGAAGCATTTATAATTGAAAGTTACAGTTGAAATCTATAGTTAAAAAAAACACAAACACGTCTCGCGCACGCTGTAAATGGACCGTCGGCGTATTGAATCCGCGTGGAACCTATCCAGCGTGACAGGAACTAGTATATCGAATTTTTCAAAGTAGAAAATCTCTCTCTTTCTTTTTCGTCTGCCGAGAAATCTCTTTCTTTTTCGTCTGACGAGATATGTACTCGCAAACTAAATAAGCACAATAAAAAGCCTTTAGTGATAAACCGTGTCTATCTACATTGTCATATGTAACGTTATATGTACACGTTATGTACTGTGGACAAGTTATATACTTACGGTATTGTGTGCATATAAATACGATACAAAGCAAACATAAAGTATAGAAAAATATTCTAGTTATTCTTACACGCACACACAATCTGGTTCTTCTCTCATTGATATTATACGCAGATCAGAATTTTGCTTGTATTAATTAATTTTGCGACTTATGCTATGGAGTTTTTATTCGAGTCAGTCATTTTGTGCGAACGTTTCTTAAAAAAAAGACTGGTTTTATTTATAATGAAGCAAAAGAAAGAAAGAGTTGCCAAATGTTTATTGCTGCATACTTTTCACATTTCATTGCATATTTTAGATTTGATATTGATAGAATCAGAAAGACACATCCGCTTTAAATATATACTAGCGACAATAGGATAGAGTTCTATTTCATCTCTGATTGCATCTATCGTACTATCTGAAATAAATATATGATTCTATTTGCGATAAAATACACTGCGAACAGAAGTGTATACAGATTACATCGGCGATAACGAGTGCATTTTGCCTCGTCACGTTTGCCGGATGTAAAATTGTATGCATCCGCCTCTGAGAGATTGCACAACATCTATCATATTTATCATTATCGATTCAGCTTAGTATATTTTATCATAACGCTTATCAGATTAATATTTTCTCCTCCACAGTGTCTGCTTCGTTCTCGAGCAATATCCATCTCGTTCCTTTTTCTCACATGCATCTTTGTTGCAATTTTACGTTACATTGTTTATCGTATGTTAATTATATATTTATTAAACAAACGTTCCTTTCTTCTCCAAACAAATACATCAATGAAGCAGTGCGTTGATATTTTCATTCTTCCTAGTGCTTCGTACGAGTGATTTTTCTCTTATATTTGATGTTGTGCTCGTAGTTTAAATCACAGGAGAGATTAGCAAGAGCCGTTGCTGGATTTTAAACGCGGTAATTGGAAACACAGGAGGATAATATTGCTTCACATAAGAGCGTTCCATGCCGAAACTTTCTTTTACGCTTTAAACGTCGCTCGTATTCTTTGAAATGAAATCGGTTTTCCCCGATTTATTTTATCAATTTCATTCCTTTTTAAGCGAGAAGGGGATAGTATATTAATATTATTGTAATAAAAAATTTAATGAAATGAAATAGAAATAAAAGATTAAAGCAACATTTAAAATTCTTCGAGAGAAATTTGCAGTTCGAAATACACGTGCGAGATATTATATTGTTCTCCCTTATTTTCAATTATTGCGTTCAAAACCGAACGATGACTTCTACTAGCTTTCTCCTTTAAACAATTTGTGCGTCAAAGATTCGCATCAAATATTTGTTTAAAGATCATAGTTTGGCTATCGTTAGATTATGTAAAAACTACATTTTTATAAATTGTTTTACATACATTGTTATTAAATTTTTTGTTAAATTTCGGATCTTCAAAAAAGCGAACGATGCAACGTCGCTTCTCTGTTGCTCCAGTCTTCCCTAACGTAACGTTGTTACGACGAAGCTGTACTTCATTTATTACAGATGATGATGATGGTAATAGCGAATGACGTTCTGAATACAAGCAGAAGCCCCGTGATAGAGGAATACGACGACGTCGATGATGTTTACGTACCGTATGATCAACGACCCGAAACTTACATCGTGCCCATAGTGTTTTCAATAATCTTGGTCGTGGGTGTCACGGGAAACGGCACCTTGATTCTCATTTTACTATGCCATGCAAATATGAGAAATGTGCCGAACATTTATGTGCTATCTTTGGCCTTGGGCGATCTATTGGTGAGCAGCAGATCATCCATTGACCGGTGTCGCCCACAACACGACACTACCGGCCGTTCTTTGTGTCGTATCTGTTGCTATACTTACTACACTTACTCGTGATATTTGTAACGATAATACGTTGTTGCAGTTGATCGTGACCTGTGTACCTTTCACGTCTATCCTTTACACGCTTGAGTCGTGGCCATGGGGCTTGTCTATCTGCAAACTGTCCGAATACGTTAAGGATATCTCGATCGGTGTGTCGGTATTTACTCTAGCAGCTTTGGCAGCCGAAAGGTAAACGCCTACCGAAAGCTTCATCGCGCCGTGCATGCTAAACCGGGAAATTATTAGACAAACTTCACGAGACGACACTACACGCGTAATTGCGGTTTGAGTTAACTTTCGCGTCGAGCGGCTAGGCCGGAATTATACAGCCTGAAAATTTGCATAATCCACTCTCGAATTTATTCAACGCACGAGTGCATTTAGCAGCTCTTTTCGTTAAACAGGGCAGCGTTATTTCTGAGGGATCGTTTAATGTACATCATGTTAAATCGATTATATTACATATCAATGATTATCAAGTAATTTTCGATGAAACCTAATGCGTTTTATTAAAATAATTCCAATTATATTCTCTCGATATTTTACTCGATATGTAATGTTATATTATTCGAACGCGAGATTTGCTCGGCGGGGAACAATAATGTGCAGCCGCCTAATATGCGCGAGCTAATCGCAATACTCGCACCGCGAAGTGGCCGGCGGAGTGAACGTGAGCTCGCGTTGCTTTCAAAATATAATGCATTTTCGTAATTTCCTACATGTCGTAGATACTGCGCCATCGTGAACCCCATTCGACGCCATGTGGCGGGTTTGAGCGCGAAACCGCTAACCGTTTTAACGGCATCTCTTATCTGGGTACTAGCAATTGTCTTAGCTCTGCCCGCCGTACTCTTCTCTCACGTGCCGACTATACCATTGGGAGAAAACCACAGCATTCTAATCTGCAGCCCTTTCCCCGAAGAATTCGGTAAGGGACGGCGCATCTTGCTGGGATACAATCGCAATTGTCGCGAACATTGCTTCGAAATGCGCGAATGTAAATGGCGCCGAGTTTGCAATTATACGATGTCATCTTGCGCGGGAAGGAAACAAGTTACCAAGAGAACTTGTTCCGATGTAACTTGTTAACGATAAAATTGTAACAACTTTGACGTTTTCATCGCGCGGCTGGTATTAAGGTGTTAACTCCGAGGCTTTCGACCACACATCACACGTACGAAATATCTCGTAGAGTGATACGTAATCAAATCGCAATTTGCTTACGCAATTGGGTTTACGGAGAGTACGAACTTCACGATGCAACAATTAACCGTTTGCGCGGGAGCAGACATCCTGTTATGTGCTTTTACATTGCAGGAGACGGGTACCAGAAGGGCATAGTAATGTTCAAGTTCTTGGCGTATTACGCGATACCTCTGTGCGTAATAGCCGGTTTCTATCTAGGCATGGCACGTCATCTAATATTGTCTACCAGGAACATGCCAGGTGAACTTCCCGGCTGCGAACAGATAAGGGCGCGCAGGAGGGTACATAGCCATTGATATCTTTTTAAGACGAAAATTGTGTGCTTTTCAACGTTTTTTCTTCTTACTCTTCGCGATGTGATCACGTTTCGCAGAGTGCATTAACCGTTTCGTTTACTGCTGTGATTAACAGGTGGGCAAAATGGTGTTGTCCTTCATAATCGTTTTCGTGATTTGCTTTCTGCCATACCACGTGTTCATGCTATGGTTTCACTTCTGGCCTTCGTCGCGGGATGATTATAACATTTTCTGGCATGTATTCAGGATAGTCGGCTTCTGCCTCAGTTTCAGCAACAGCTGCGTGAATCCGATAGCTCTCTATTTCATCAGCGGCACATTTCGTCAAAGGTACGCCCACACGTATGATATCTGCAATGAAACGTGATAGAACGAATCATTGGAATTAATTGGAAGTCAATGATTAATTCGCGGATAATTACTATAATATGCATCATTTCGAATTGAACGAGCAAAAATGCCGTGATGGAAAAATTTCACATTGAAATCATATCGCAACGGAACTTACCGTAGCGAGCAAAAGCTCTTGCTTGCACTATGTGAGAGAAGAACATTTAAATAAACCATAATCGGTTAAACTTACCGCCGTATATATTATAAGGTCGAGTTTAGCAACAGAATATATAATATAATATATAATAGCGATTTTCCTTTGCAATCTCTCGTCAAGTTTAAATTTCATTCGCGGATGTTTCCAACAGAGAATAGCGTATGAACTTTTTCCCTGCCGATAAACTACTCCTCCCAAATTATTTGTGTGTGAAATCTCAGCGCAATAATTTATCCATAAAAGTGCTATGAAATTATGAATTTCTTCGATTTTTTAGAAAACATTATTCGAACTCGGCGTGTTTTCTGAACGATGACCTCTTACCCACGATTAGTCGAGGTTGTTGGATGGATTAAGGAAAATGATTAATAAAATTAACACTGAGATATCAACGAATACATTATTAAATATTTCAGATAAAATAACCTTAACAATCGTCTTATTCGATATAAATCTATATCTTCACAAGAGTGATGTAACATCCGAGAGTGGCACAGCCCTTAATATCTAATAAATTGGATCATGGCTCGTGTCGCACAAACACAATATTTGCCTTCAATCTGCTAACCCCATTCTTTGTTTGTCGTAGATTCAATAAATATTTGTGCTATTGTCTACCGGGTGGTTGCGCTGTCTGCGGCGGTAGACGCTTGGAAAGGGGCGGAACTCACGGAGATACTGGTTTTTCGCAAAGAAGTCGCGGCATACGGGGTACGTTTTATGAGACCAGTTTCGGTTCCACTTTCCGCAGACACACTCAAGAATCGACCGGGGTATTCGAGATGGCCAGCATAGAAAAGGCTAAATCTACCCCGTGCGATCGGAGGTTGCTGGCGGAATAATCTCGAGGGTTATAAACAGGGCATGGATGCTGATGTAAATTGCAGCATGAATGCAGTCTCGATGAACCGTCATTGCCGATAATGATGGACTAAAGCGGATGCGAAACGCTTCGTTGGAATGGTATGCGTATTGTATAACGTCAAAGCTGCGAGCCACGAATTACGGTTGTATGAAAGAAATGCGATGACAAGTCTCGCAGGTAATCCTTATTCGGGTATTAGGCGGCTAATGCGACGACAGTTGCGAAACTTATATAAGTGTCCGCTTATAATCACTTTGCTTGAAGTACCGATTTAAAATGATGCGTATACGACATTTTTCACTCTACGGTACGACTACACGGGTCGACTATATACAGGCAATCTCTTTCATATGTTAGACATTTTTTTTTTATAAACTCAAATTGTGTGTGTGCGACTTCTTTATTCCTCGATGGTACTTTCGTGTAATTTATGTTATCGAATCTTTATGCAGAGATTTATTATTTAAGTGGGCGAAGTAGTGAAAAGAGTCATGATTTATTAGGATTCACTTAATTAATTTCTTCTTGTTGCAAAACAAGATATTTCTCTTCTTTCTTCCACTTCGATCAAACCCGAATAAAAGAACCAAAGAAAATTAATCTCAAAGACGGTATCTCTATGTTCTTTCTACTACTAGAACATAGTATAAATAAGGCAGTATTTCGTATTATATGTACATGTATGTGCGATGTGTATCTCTTGTTCAATTTGATTGAGAATTATTTATTAGTATCTGTTATCCCTTTCTACACGTTCCTCGTGTTCAAAGAGATTAGGTTTAAGAGTAGATCTTGAAACAGTACAGCCGACCATTAGTCCCGTTCATTGGAATTGTCAAAACAACGAAAACCGAATTCGTTCATTAATGCGATAAATACATAAATAGTTGTCAGTGGAAAGGAGAGTAAGACTAAACAACTGGAAGTACAACGAGATACGATCTGACATTATTCTATTCCATGAATCTTCTATCGCCCCTCTTGTAAGCGGGAGAGCTTGACTCTCAGCGAACGAAATTGTAAATAGTATTACAAGAGAGTGTCGCGCGAGAGGAGGAAAAGCGCGAGAGCGCGAAACAGACGTAAAATAGAATTTATTTCGTGCCCTGGTACTTTAAATAGCTGTAAGTCCGGCATTATCTTACAGTTTTTTATAAGTGCACATCAACTAGATATCCATCCCTTCCATTTACGTTCAGTAAAGAAAAATGAACTCTGCTCTTATGGTCCGAAAGCTCGTAAAGTAACTCATTGAACTTACACGGTGCTGTTCTCGATACTATTGATATATCGTTTAGCCAGTCTCTTATTATAGAGTGTTATTTCTTTAGTCCCGATTTAGATTTACTATCTAAATAGATCATTCGCATAAATACGTAGAGGTTAATTCAAATAAATAATTTGTCATTATTTCCATTGCGTATACCATTTCGCTGTTTTACATCCTAGTTATTCGGGATGTTCCAAAATTATTGTGGTTTGATCTCTCACAAAATTTATACTTAGACACGGAATAGTCAGCTTTAGATGATTTAAACAACTTATTATCAAAACACATACCACTGGTTTCGGAGCATTGCGAAACGTAGTTGTGTGCGCGTTTAAGTGTCACCAGTGTCTTCTAATGTTAAACCCAATCTTAAACTTCAACCCAAACTTAGATCCAGCCGTAAATATTTTGTGCCTTTTTCCACATGCTTCGTAAGGATGAGAATTTTAGTAATAAAGATAACGCGCTATATATAATTTAACGTGGAAAATGTCGTTTGGAAAATGTTTCTCTTGCGCAAGTAAATTATTCTTGTTGGAACGTATAAAACAGAGAAAAGAAGCAACCAGCGCGAATTATTTTTAAGTCGCGGGCATCATTTTTGAGTCGAACAGAAATAATCGATGAGACTGCTCGGCACGCGTGCAACGAGCTCGCTCGCACGTGCCACTCGTCCACTCCCTTCAACAGTAGGGCACGCGCAGGGACACGTCGCAAGGGCTCACCAAAAGCAAAGAAAGAGGGAGGGAGGGAGAGAGAGAGAGAGAGAGAGAAAGAGGGAGACTTGCATCTGCCGCTTTTTCAGACCTTAACACGACGGTTGAAGGGAACGACGAGTCGAAGGGAACCGGTGCTGGATCAGCACCCTCGCACATAGACCCCCACCTCTTCGGCAACAATCGTGAAAGTGAGGGGGTTGGTAGTACGCGGCCGTCGACGTTGGTCAACGGTCGTTTTCATTAACAGTTGTCCGCGCGCAAGTAGTGTACTGTATAACGGGTATAAACGAAAGGATGTAGAGTTTTTCGACATAGAAAGAGGAGACAGAAAGAGGCGCACCTTACAAGAAAGAGCTTAGTGAAGGTAAAGAAGTTGCACGGTAAAGGGATCATTAGTGGGTTCTCACGCGCGAGAAATATCTTGTGACGCTGGCACCTGATAACGAAGCTGATACAACGGATAAAAGGTTAAGGGACAAACTCGTTTCTGTAGGAAGACAAAGTCGCGTAAGTAAAAGAACGATATCATTACATCCATGTAATGACACCATAAGACGATTATCTCACAAATACCAGCTTTGTAACATGTACATTCGGTCAGTTCAAATTTGTATCGATTTAATCGGAATTATCATCAAATGAATATTTGACGGTAAGTATGGAAAAAATCCTTTTGAAGATATTTTGAAAAGTGAAAGAAAATATCGAGCGAGATGAAAATAAAATATAATTGTGTGCGTGATTTATTTCTACGCAAGAGCACGTGGACACCAGAAAACGAAGAATATCAAAGTCAAAATGTCGAAAAGTCGAACGTATTAATCGATTAACGAAACCAATTAACCTGATTGAACATCATTACGTGGGAACAATTGCGGCGAAACGTATTAACGGGTATTATATGGGAACATAGAGAGTTGGTATTACTCCAAACAACGGTTTGCAACGCGATGCATTGCCATGCGATGCCTAGATATATAATTACGTACAGAATATACGACGAGAAATGATCAACCAAATAAACAGATTCCAAATTTTTACATAGTTTAGCGAAAAACATTCTTATTTAAATAATACTGCACATACACACATTTTGCGATCTTGTAAAAAATTTATTCGTTATAGATATTTATGAATATAATATCTGAGAAATTAAAGTTTTGAGTTGCATCGTTTTTAATCATCAAATATCGTTGGGTTACAGGTGGATAAGAATTAAATCAAGGCATAATGAAGAGATACTCATCGGTAAGGCATGATAAAAATAAATTACGTGACAATAGCTTTGTAAAAAATCACTGAAACATATGTAAAATCTATTATTATATGTACGAACATTTTTAATACGACAGCAAATAGAAATGCTTTCAGTATGTTTAAAACGACAAGAAGAAATTTTAACACGCTATTATGTCCAAAAATAGGCACCTTGTCTGGAAGACGTAGGTAATGACATTAAAAGAACAAGAGAAGATGAGCAACGCGCAGTAAGTTAAAAATTCTTCACTGTTTCGTTTTGACATTAAGTTTTAACATTTAATATGTCAACTGAAATAACATGAATAGTGGATGCAACTGCAAGCCAAAGTCGCAACTTAATTAAGAATGTTATTATATAAGGATGGTAAAAGTTATTTCACTAAAATTTTTCATAAAGTTCGATATTGTTAGCAATTATACTCTTTGTCTATGATTAGTGTTCTTGACTGCATTAACAGAATCATATAAGCAGATGTTTTAACTTTAGGAGCTATACAATTGTACTGCAAAACGAAAGTTATATTTGTTTTCAAGTTTTTCGTGAAGATATATAACAATTTGCCAGAGGCGAATGATCTGGTACTTCGCTATTGGATCACGAAACCACATTCGTGTTTTTGTGGTTAATATAACGGAAACTGTATCGTTTTTTTCTATATCAATTTGTTTCACGTGTTACATCTCGCGAAAGTTGAAATTTTACAAAATGGAAAGCCTTACACAAACGAGAAGTTTTTCTCCAACCAACCAAAAATACTTTTATAAATTCTTTTTAATTATTTTATTCCACTTTTCTGACAAACTTTTTTAAAAGTGTTAGATATAACGATTGTGTTGTAAGAGTCGAGACGCAATCACCTTTGATTAGCTTATTTTGTGATGTTTGGATCTATCGTTCTATAGTCAGTTTAGCCGTAACAAAACGGTTAGATTGCAACGACATGTATACGTATATACACATTGACAAAATTAATATGCATATACATATGTATTATTTTCCACTATTTTATATTGAATATATATAACTCGATATTTATCGTAATTTAAATAATCAAACGTAAAAAGTGTGCGTGCGTGTATATATGTGTCTTAAAGATAAAGCAAAATTTGTATTTAATAAAAGGATTTTGATGGCGGTACAAATAGATAAAATTTTGATAACACTTCGAAAGTGAATGTATATCGATATCGTAAGAATTTATTGTGGCAAATATCAATACGATTTTTATGAGACGTTTGCTGAATCCGGCATGCATGTTTTTTATATTTTCACAGGGTCCAGATACAAGAGAATATCTCCAATTGGCATTAGCCAGAATCCTAGAATTACAACGAGAAATCGAGGAAGGCACATACGTCACAGAAATCGATAATGGCAGTAACGATCTGGGTAACATAAAACTTGTTTCGCACTTTGACTCTCTCTTCAGATATTGCGTAACTTACCTTTATTATCAGCGGGAACTTCCGCAATGTTTCTACGGGGAAAAAGATTGGTATCGCTTGTTAGACCTCTCATAAAGTTCCGAGCAAACTTTATTCCTTTGATCCGATACATCGTAATGAGTTTCGAAATATCGCATAGGAATGATTTATTCGAGCAATTATCGCAACAGATGATATCTCCGTAAAGAAATTTATTAGTTGAAATGTATTTCGTTGCCGATTGTATTATGTCGTGTGACACAAGTATTTTAAAAGAACCTATGTGAAGTAAAATGCCGGATGTGTAAAATAAAAATTGTACGTGAGATGACGGTAGGTCTCTACGCGGTTAGATGGAAACTGTCTTCGCGAGATATCCTGACAGTCTCGTCAAATTTACGCATGACTCTCAACGCGACATGACGCCAATTTCGTATCAGTTCATGTGGCACGTCAATTGGAATAAGCTACTCGATTTATCGGTGTTTTATAAACCTGACAAATCAATATTAAATATATTAAATATGTTTTGTTAAATCTTAACAAGAGAATAAATAAAAGAAGGCAAGCAGCAATTCGAAAATCATATATTTTTTAAATCTTATTCGTTAGTTTTTTATATATTTATATCTATTTATTTTTAATCCTAATAAATCTCACTTCAGAAATCTCTGGAACTCAAAATATAAATAATTAAATATTGTAAGAAGAGCACCTTTTGTACTCGAGGCTTAATTTCATTTATCTTTTTATTCAAGATTTTGACTACGGCCATTAAATCTATCCGTGATATATCTTTATTATTTCGCAGACGTATCGGGCAGTGAAGAAGATTTAACGAAAGAGATCCTTGCCAAAGTGTTTCAAGATCTGCCAGGGACATCTGATTCGATCGCTAAGATAATAGACAGAGAAACACTCTGGAAAAGTCGTCGTATGGACGCGATCCGCAATAAAAGGATACAATTACTAGGTTTCGATGCTTGTCGGAGAATTACTCTCGAGTTCATGAAGACGGTGGTGCGAGAAACACGGGGCAGATTCTCTTCATTAGAAATTGGTCGCTACGATTTGTCTGTACCGCGAGACGAATCGTTTTATTCGAGAAATGGGATTCTAGCGAACGATTTGCGAGAACCTAGCGCGACTGATGCGCAAGAAATTCGGATAAGAATGTTGAAAAGTCTGGATTTGCACTTAGCCGCTAAACAAAGAGACTACACGGCTAAATTAATGAGATCGGCTATATAACTCTATGTTTTTGACACTCTAAAGCGAATGAATCGAAAAAACAAAATATCTGAATTATATTTCCGCCGGGTATTAATGCAATGAAAATTCATTGCACAGTATATTTTACCTGGGATATTATGTTTATTTAGATATTATCAATATTTTTTATATATTTCTCTCTCTCTCTCTCTCTTTTCTAGTCATAAAGAATACCGTCAAACGATTATTATTTTTTTTTTACAAAATATTAGCAGATCGTTTTGTGGGCAATAAGTCAAATATGATACATATCATTTATTTAAATTTACAATAATAGGTTAAGTTATTGAACACATATTTTACATAAACATTTTTTAAGCAAAGTCGAAGCTTCGCTTTTAATGCAGAACCGATCTCAGCTCTTGCAGCGAAAACTTGCAAAAACTTATCTAGTCATATGTAACTTGCTAGTCATAACCTGCCATAAGCATAATTATTTTGCAAAGCTACTTATTTATTTTAGAAATCGTAGATGCATTATAGGGTACGATAGAATTTATTATTCTATTCAGATTTTACTCTTTTTCTAAAGTCTATGAATAAAATTATATGTGCACTATAATTCATTTAATATAATGCTTTGTAAAACTTTGTATGAATAAATAATTTAATATGTTCATAACATTCTACGACATCTTGAAATTCAAGTAAATAAATGCCTCCTATATTTCTTTGAATTTTCATAGTTCAATAAGAGGAATAATTAAATCATATAAAAGAGAAACACAAAGATCCAAGGTAGTTTTGTAAAAAACATTTATTCAGAGTGTACAAATAAAAAACTTAAGGCTTCCAAACTCTCTGTTTGAATTACATGTCTTAATTGCATATCGTACAAATTACAGATTATAATTATTTTTCGGGGCATTCGGGCATATAAGGCCACGAAATATTTTACGGTCGAGACGTCAAAAGATCGACTAGACGTTCTTGTTAAAGAGGAAGACGTACATAGCACATATAAACAGATTTCCCTACAGCAAGTAAACTTGTCAAAGTAATTTCTACAAGTGCACACTTCGAATTCCTGTTATCGAATCTCGAAGAACTTCATGTATTCATACGGTATTATGTGCGTTTATGCGATAAACTATCTTAATGAATTCAAACACACAATATAAAATGTTGATAAACGGTGTATAAACATTAATTTATCTATTTCTCCATAAAATATCACTAATTTATCAACTTCATAATTACACCAAAATTATTGCAAACTCATGCAAAATATTATATACAATCTTCAATTTAAATTTGATGAATTTAATATGGTTAATAATTTGTTACTACTAAAATGCATACTAAAATATATATTATTATAATGTTTGCATTTCTGTATATCTCGTTGTATCTACATTAAAAATACACATTCTAATATATCGACACAAGAACATATTGAATTAAACAGTTTTACGTTGCAAATGCAATGCAACATATTTATCCTAAATACAGAATCATTTGCAATTTGATCATATTTGCAGAAAATTCGAGTCGAGGTTTCAACTTCACGGAAAAGTATTGTACAAAATTAAAATAAATTATCAAGAAAATCGAAACAAGGCAATTAAAGTTTCTGTCATTCGCTACTGCGATATACAATACACAGAGAGAATGAATATAGTAATAGAAATGAGACTCTCCATGTTATAAATAATATTCAGCCAATATATGGAAACGAATGTATGCTGCTTTGTTTCAGGAAAAGTAAAGATCAACGATATTTCCCGTGTTCTCTAATTGATTTGTGACACAAAAACACCGCCTAGAGCACACGAGATACTTTGAAAGCTACGGAATATAAGTAATATCGTCATGGAACATTTTAACAAGAAATTCTATCAGACCTCAAGCACAATATAATACATTTTTGCTTTTATCCAATTCATAGAAGTAATTTTCCTCGAAAACAATGCAGTGATTATATATAACGAAAAATTTTATATTTGTGAGCTAAACAAGAGTAAAAATATAGACATTTACTGATTAAAATTATTGATTAAAATATATAACGCATCAATTGTCATAAACAAAATCGCTACATTATTACATCTAATATATATATATATATTTGTTTTTTTTTTTTATAAAAATATAAGAATAGTCTTACAATAGCTGAATATATATCCTACCGTTTTGATCGTCATTACAAAAAGAGAGGCCGGATAATTAATCCATAATATATGAAAATCGAGTTTTGCACACGATAACTTCCGTATATTTGAACGTTTCTATTTATATCTCTTAATCTCTCGTTATTCAACATTGTTATAAATTCGATGACACGCGTCTATAACAAAAAAGATTGTGCATTCGATGGAAATATTAACGATCACAGTACGAAAGAAAAGTTTCGCAACACGTCTCGAGAGGAATCGATCGTAGAAATTCTAAAATACGAAAATATATTAATTTCAATGTTCAATTTCAACGTCCGTATCTATCCTTTTCTTTTTCTTTCTTTCTTTCTTTCCCTTCCTCTCTGTCTCTCTCTCTCTCTCTCTCTCTCACACATACACAAACAGTTTTCGATATATAATTTCCCATTCTTTATACAAATCTATAAACTTATATATATATATATTTAGCACAACAGGTAATGTACCTTAACGCGTATTAATTTGTAACACGAATTACCAAGCACACTATATGTGTGATAATCCTATAAATTATTAACGTAATTATATCACGCGATGCGTAGAGGGCCGAGCGATGGGCTTCCAGTTGCTATTCGTTGAAAAGGCGTGTTGTAATATTTGGTTATCGTAGACCTGTCGTCGAAGCCGACACAAGACACTCGCAAAACTTCGCCGACGATCAGTGTCAAAGATATTCATGCTGGAATCTGTGCGTTCTCTCCATTAAACGGAAAATCTTCCGGCTAAGATTCTATACCAAACGTGCATATATCATGTCCATGCATTAATTGTAATTAGGTCAAGTTGGTTCGTTTCAGCCGTCGCTAATAACATAACGATCTAATTTTCCCTCCTACAAGTGAATTATCTCCATATATCTCCATATATCTCCGGGGCTACGAACAAGTCTACTTGAAGTAAATTATTCCAGTAGCGCCGCGAGTGTCACAGCTAACTATGAACATAAGCTAAGCTTATCTCGAACATGACGTAAATCAACTTGTGGAAATCACACTACAGCCATTTTAACTGAAACAGACAAATCGCTACGTGATCCCATCAACTGAAAGGTGTTTTGTATTTCTCAAGCTTCGCATAAATTTTCTTTCAGAAGAACTGTCTTGGTGATTCAATTTCTATTCACAATTTCTCCCCGTTACTTTTTGTGTGTCTCGTGAAATATTTTATAAAAATAAATTGTAAAATAATTTTTATAAAGAATTTCTGCATTAAACATGTGTTGAAGTAAAACGGTTCGCACAGAACCAGGAGATCTAAAATTTGTCTCTGCATTTGATCTTGCATTGCTCGTGAAAAACCATTCGGTCCAACAGATACGATGTTCCCGAATTCGGCTCGCGCCACTTTCAAAGTCGACCTTGCCTTTCCTTTGCTAGTGCTGTTGCACAAGAGTAGGCCCGTTGCCGGGATTCCTCCAAGGATCTGGTATATCGAAGTGCGCGGGGACCGTGAGCAGAGCGTCGGCCGCGGTGCGGTCGCCGCTGCAATTGTTTGGCTTGACGCGGGTGGTGTCGACGCACTCGATCGGCAGCTTGATGAACTCGAGCTTGTAGTTGTGACCCTGGCTGGTGAGGCGGATGATCGTATGCAGCGGCACTTCCATGTAGGGCACTTCCTCGGGTTTCTTGTCGAGGAAGAAGCCGATGATGCAGCGCAGAACCGCCTGGTGCGACACCACGAGCACGTTGTTCGAGCGCTGCAGTTCGGCGATCACCGGCTCGACACGTTGCATCGCGTCGATGTAGCTCTCGCCCCACGGATAACGATAACGCAGCTTGTCTTGATCGCGCCATGCGAATTCCTGCCGAGGAAGTTACATTAACTCCATGACCATCGCGAATTGATTACCGCGTTCCGACCGATGGCTATCTTCGCGATCGAAGTTAGTTACTCCAACTTTCCCGAACTTGAACTTCGGTCTGCAAGCCCGGACACTAAACATTTATTGCCGCCGATCAGCGATTATAAATTCCTCGCGTAAGGCTCCGGCTAATTAATCAAGATTCGTCCCGACAGCTTAGAAGTACCGATGAATCATTACCTGCGGATAGCGCTCTTGCATCTCCTCGTAAGATAGGCCTTCGCACACCCCGGCGTGAAGTTCGTTCAAAGCGGCCACGTGTTCTTGAGGAGCCTCGATGCCCCGTGCCGTGGCGATTGTTCTGCGGAGGCGGCTGGTGAGAACCCGCAGATCGGGGATGCGCATGGCGTTGAATCTGGTCGACAACGCTTGTGCGTATCGCTCACCTCTGGCGCTTAAAACTGCGTCACCGCCAATTTTGCCGAGCACGTTGTATTCGCTTTCACCATGCTGCAATAATGTTGTTTAAATTACTTAAACGCGCCAGAGGCAATCGAGCAGAAGGCGGAACGGATCCTTCCGCGGAAGGATCAATTTCGGGATTTTATATTCTTTCCCGTCACTCGCTTTCCGCATTTTTCTTATCGCGATACGAAATTATTTTTAATTTTCATTACGATTAAATTATCGGGGACTAGCAGAAGTTTGTCGGAAATTTGGCTATATTTCTTTCATTAATAATAACAAAACAGCATACATGTTACTCTCGTTTAAAGTACTCGCCACTTCCTGCCATTTCTCAAATTATTGCTTCTACATCTGCAAAGTAATTTATCTTTTTTGCTTCAATTTGTCGACAATCCGGTAAACTTTTGCAAGCCTTGAATAATTGTATGAAATTGATCTGCTTACTCTTGAGAAATAAAGAGTGTGCGGTTTGAGACTGATGTCTCCAAGATATCCCAACACCTTGGTTTCAATATGACCGGTAACCTTGCAAGTCTCGATGTCCATAGTAGCGGTGTCAATTCTGATTCTGGGGTAGGATCTCTCGTACATGGGCTCGTACAATTCGGTGTAATAAGCGATTTTTGAACACAGGTACTCTGCGACCAGAGTGGCATCCACGTCGGCGTAATCAGCATTGTGTTTCACCATCTCTTGTTGGTTACGCTGCAGAACCACCGGGTCGTGGCAAACGCACTCGATGAAAAGAACGCGGTAACCGAGCTGAGCGGAAAAATAGTCGTAGACTTCGGTGCGTTCTGCTGTCGTGATCAACATAGCGTCGAGGATCTAGAAACGAAGAAGCTCTAGATAATGACCGCGATACGTGGCTTCTTTTGTCCGTTTCAATTCCATTTGATTTTATTGCCGTTTTCGTATTGAATTTCTCTTCCATTTCATTTTACGTCGTTTCATTGCCATGCGTAGTTTTTAAACGTAGATCATTCTTGGCTAAGCAATTCGTAATCCCCGGTAACATGTGACTGAAGATCGTACCCGAAAAATATATTGCTATACCTTCACAGATCTCGTGAATACAAAGATTCCTGAACGTTTCTGAATACTTACTGCTACATTATTGCCAGACGCGAGCCATGACGCGCAATCTTGCATAGCATCTCTCTGCGCGAGAATTCTTGTGGCGTTGCTTGCCGCCTGATCCAATCGAAAGAATGTAACATCATGAGATGTGTGAGGTTCGGATTGCTTTTTCCGATAATCGATCACGTGGAACACTGAAAATAAAATTATAATAACGTAGTTCCATGGAGCTTTCTCACGAGCAAACAGGCTTTCTAATTTAATGTTGGATTAAAAATAAAAGTGAAAATCAAGGAAATTTTATTAACGAATACAATGAATTCGCGGCTTGGTTTAATGAATACATTATCTATTGTCGACTAAATGATTGATTATGCATTTACCTTTCGTGGTTATGCCATTCCAGTTGAGTCTGCGAGCGAGGTTTTTTCCTATCTGGCTTTTTCCGCAAGCCGGTAGACCGCAAGTGGCAATGACAACTCCCGCAAACTTGCGCGATGACTTCGCCACTCCGGGCATTCTCGCGATGGCCTTCTCTTTGCCAGGGTCTACGTGAAAATAGACAATGTAATATTGAGAACTGTATCGCCATTTCTTACGCAATTGTACAAATCAACGATGCATATTCTTTCGGCTCTTTTGATTTCTTAGAAAATGAAGTACATGATTAACGAGAACATATATCTGAGAGATAAAAATATGGTGATAAGAGAAAGAGAGAGAAAGGGAGAGAGAGAGAGAGAGAGAAATACTTGCGCCGAAATGACGCAAATATAATTTTTGGGAATAACAGGACATAGCATACAATAGCTAAATATAATATTATTAGTCAGAGCTTCGTTGAACGAGGACTTTGCTCCACTAACGGGAATATTTTGGCAATTCATCTAACTATAGACACGAAACTCACTAAGTAACGTGTGAGCATGATAAAACATATATATAATCTTCGATACATAATAAAATCTGCGCACATCATGAGTATGACGTCAAGTATGACGTTCGAATTCGTGAGAACATAATGTGGAAACTTGTGCTTCTTGAAAATAACATTAATCGTAAAATGTTTACGACAGGTAAGCACTGAAAAATAACAGAAGTGCGCAAAATGCGAAGAGTTGGACAATATAGCGTTATTTATTAACTTAAACGTTATTTCACGTTCGCTTGCGATAACATATCATTTGTGTTTACAGAAAAGTATAATTTTTGTATTATGAAATGTTGTTTCATATTGTCATGTGCAGAAGAAATATTTTGCGTTTTACATTCTTGCAGACGAAGAGAATACACGTATTTATAAAATATACGATGATTCTCTCTCTCGCTCTCTCTCTTTCTCTCTCTCTCTCTCTCTCTCTCTCTCTGATGAGTCTGCAAGATTTGTGGAGTACACCTCATAGATCGAACGAAAAAAAATATAGGTTTTTATCTATTTTAACTATCGCGGTTAAGTCTCGGATTAGTTGAAGCGTAACGAAAACTTAATTCAAACTATCTCAAGCATTTAATATCAACAACTCATAAGGAAGAATTATTACCGCGCTCTCATAAAAAAAAACAAACAAAAACAGAAAATGATTACTTCGCGGAATATACGTGCAGTAAAATTAAGAAGCATAGCTTACAAGATTAATATTATCTTGAAGATTACTTTCATATATAAGTGATATATATCTTAATATCTCATACAACATTTTTCTTAATGATTTATCCTCTCCTCATGATAATTTGAAGATTATAAAAATATAAAATCGGTGATTAAATTAATTATCAATTTTGCATGCGAAATATATATAAAATAATATCAGCTTATCTAATATGCACATATTTTTACTAAGATCGAAGATACTGTTAAAGTGCCTTCGAATCGTCGTTGACTAAAACGAAAGATTAAAGATAAGTTCAACATCAAGATCGCAAAATACGATTATTCTACATTCATTCTGGACTCTGCATAATTATGACGTCTACTGAATTGTCAAACGAGCGGACAATGGAATATACGATGCCTCGTGTCCCACCAGGAGCGCACTTTATATTTAGAATTGTGAATGTGCGCGCATTTGTCTTGCTTGGCCTTTCCCGTGCGTTACCAGCCAACAATGGTTCACCTTTCAAACGCGGTAAAATTCCAATTACTGCATGTACAAGAAGGAGACAATTATATGTTAATCTGATTTCTTCTTAAATACGAAAATTTGCGCTATATCCGTTCGTTCAAATATTTATCAACAATTTTGTATGTTGAAAAGAATTATATTGATTAAAATTCTTATTACATTATTTACATAAAATGGTATGTCAATGAGTGACAGTCCGTCGATAACTCTATAGTTATTACTTGACTCTTAGATAACCTACACATAACGGTTACCTAACGGAATAAAATATGCAAATGAAAGATAACACATAAGGTCTGTAAAAATACGTAACATCATTTGCAAAGCTTGATTTTATTGGTTCATATCTAAGTTAGAAATAATAGTTTAACCCCAGTGATCTAGTTCATTTGTTTGCAATTACAAAAAATATATAAAACTGTGTTTTAATTACTTGTTTTCAATTACTGCGCGCGTAAAATACGAAATTATTTGTAATATTTTGCATATCCAGAAAATATTTCCTTTACTCTATGCATTTTATACTTTATGCATAATACATATAACATATTTATTATATACAACAAAGAATGATATTTTGTAAATATTGTTAAAAAAGGAGCGATATCAAACACATGATTACTTATAACTCAATTTAAATTTAAATTTAATTTTACTCTTACAGAAATTCGATTTACTTACATGATACTGAAAAAATATACCCCACGCTATTTAAAATATTCATTATTAAATTATTAAAAATTTTAAGGAAATATATTTTATCGTTTAAACATTTTCTTGCGTTGCACACTTTTGAGGACCTTGTGTGTTATCTTTAATTTTATGTCTCGTTCTGTTGGGTAATCGTCACACGCAAATTATCCAACAGTCACAGTGATATATAGAGATACTTAAAAATGATAAGATATATCTCTATTTAATCACGTAAAAATTTCAACACATTCTGTACATATAATACATCCAAAATTCGTAAAATTTCAAATTCTTAATCACTTGCAAAATGCAAGAAGCTAATAGCAATTCATTTCTGGTGTAAGAAATTGAATTGATTTGAAATTACTGAGAGTACGATTCTTGATAACGTAACGATAAGTTATCGATTTCTCAATGCCATTTTAGAACGATAAATCGGATACGATATGATAGTTTACATAGAATTATCACAGAGACTCATGCGATTTGACTTTCAGACAGCGATTCTTTCGCGACGTACTACATGAAATACTATATAGTTCAAGACAAGAAAATAAAAATATATCAGATAAAAGTTGACCCAACTTGCGTGTTTCTTTGCAAAAAATATTGTCCCACGACTTTATAAATAAATTTCATTTTAATTATAAATATACCGCATGTCATACGTTGTCCAGTGTGTTATTTCTGTCTACTCAGATTCCATTATGAATTTTATATATTACGATTTTGACATCTATATTTTTCGTATATCGTCATGAATGATTATTTTAATAGAATTCTGCGACGTCATATGTATAAGTGATTTGACCAAGCCGAATATGACGTTACGTATAATAAGCAGAATTCATAAATGTCGCGTTTACATTTTTAATATGAGTTTATTTATTACCTCTTAATCGATTTCGATTAAATGCCATTTCACTTTCAAGAATGCACAATTTATTGGCAGAATTATAGGATGAATAACCATCAAAGAAACCCGATCCTATGTGAAACAATGTTGTTTGTAACACGAGAACGGTGTCGCAAATAAAAAATACGGATATCGTAGCATAAGCGAAACTAGTGAGACGACCGCTTCGCGTTCGTGCATCCTTGCGAGTTTGTGTTAACGCGTTGAAAAACTTAATCTTTACAAAGCTAAAGATTATTTATCTCTTCTTCGCGTATCGATAATTACTCGCGATGACGGGAATTGTATATAGAAAATAAAAGTGGTGAAGGTTAATTTTATGGATTGCATCCGCGTGCTTATTTATATCCTCTACAATTTTAGCTACCGCGTGTTCCCTCATGCGTAGGTAATGAGAATACAATACGGATTTACGCATGTTCATAGAGCTCTACACGCGAGAAATTCGATGTCGTTAATTTCACGCGAAAATATGAATAAGATAAAAGCAAAAAATGCGGTAAAAGCATAAAAAGAGCAAGACAGCGGTGCGATATCGTAGACGGCGACCTCAATACCCGAGTCTCGTTGTTTTCCTTTCACTTTTCATCTCCTTCGAATTTCATTAAACCAGCTATCTATGTGATGTACATGTTCTATGTATGTATGTTCAAATAGAAAAATTCATGTATGTAAAAGATGCGAGATTTGCGTTTTTTATTCTTATCTGTCTTTCTATATAAATATTCATTTTTATATGTTACGAAAACGAATCGACTGACATTTGATGGAATTGGTTTGATATACAGCTTTGTTACAGAAAACATATTTATATTTCGTCTGCAATAATTTTTAAAAAATATTAGACTTCTTAGTGAGCGAAAAATTTTGAACAAGAATAACACGCAATAACAACATCTCCCCTATAATTAGAATCTCGTAACGCTTTGCTGCGTAGATTATTTATTAAGGTCCTCTCTCGTTCTCAGGCTCTAAGGTTCTCTCTTAAATTACGTAACAAAATGCTCTTCAACGGCACAGAAGCCTGAGATATGTCTGCCTGTGTTATCTGAGCGGGTGTTAAGTTCTCTTGCACGTTTGAATCAACCTCGCAACTCGGTTATTTAATCGTTCAGATAATTCATTTTACTCGGTACATAAAAGCGAGTTTTTGAAAGTAACAACGTGAGAGAATATTCAAATTACATAAGTAGACATCAGTAATCCTCCGTGAGTCGTCAGTCAACTTCATCCCCCGTGTGAAACTTTACCTTGACGCTGCTCTTCCGTATTAGGGACCATGTTGGTTGTAATGCCGGCGTTCAGGAGTACTTCCGTGTTGGACCTTTGTTTCCTAATTAAATCGGTTTTTTTCTCTAGCAGAACGCCGGCTTGCAGGGCGAGTTTTCTGAGTGCGATACAATAACCCAGTAACGGAGTTGCCAGCAGATCAAAACATGCGACGACCCAGGGCATAACCGAGAAACCCTTATTGGGGAGAAAAACCGGTTTATCAAGTACCAGCTTTTTTATTCTTTTGCTCTCCCTCTTTTTCTGTCTCTCTCTCTCTCTCTCTTTCTCTTCTTCTCTATTTCACTCTCTCTTTCTTCCTCTTTGTCGCTATGTCTCTAGCACTCCGTTTCCTTATTTATTTTATAAATCGTGATAGGTTTATGACTTGTTAAGATATCGCTCGGAACAAAAGGAAGCCCGATTGCGTCCCGCTGCTCCAAAAAGCTGAAGAGCCGCCCCTATTCTAATCTCGTGTTATCGCATCAGTCTGCTTAGTTTCTCTTCCTCTGCTTTCCGGTTGAGCTCTCGGCTAAAGTTCTTCCGAAAAGTGGTCGCTGCTCGTGTGTCGTATTATAGACAACAGATCCTCCCTCATTCCAATTTGCTTGATCCTCACCTCCGGAGCCAGTTTGCGGGCTTCCTTGGGATCGGTCAGAGAGAAGCCCAGGTCTCTAGTTCGAAGTCTTGTGCCGCGTGATTTTTTGTCACTGGCGGCTTTCGTTCCTTTCGCAAACTCCGCTATCGATGATGATATTCTCACAGCTGGTGTCGTTGCTGGTCGGCGACAGTGCGCGCGCACGAGAGGATATAGCTACTGCTAATTTACATAGTAACAGCGACGTCTTGCTCCAATCTCACGGACCACTTTTCTCCTTTGAGATTCTGAGCTCGAAGTCGTGGTTGCGAGATCACTAATATGTGCCTGATTTACCACTATTTTCTTGCCTTCCTCTCCTACTTCCTCTCGACCAAGCCGGATGGACGCCCTGTCAATATAAATATAATCGGCTAGATATAGCCGATAGAGCTGGGAGAAATTTCGACGGATGCTTCTCGAAACTTGTCGTAGAACTTCTACTGACGCTTCTCGCTAGCTAGTGTCACTCGTAATCCGCCGGTTTTTCAGCGTTGATCAGAGAATCGCGATGAAGGCGTGTGAGTACGTTCAATTGTAGTACGTTCGAACGAGGATAGAACTCCGGTTGCGGACCCGACTGGTCGATATGCGCTTCTCGACTCTCTGACGACTAGTTGTCTGGTTCCACCGCGGCTTTTAGCATCATCGACCAGAACCCACGAACGAGCGTACTCCGCGTGGTGAGCCAATGGAATATCAGCTGGCCCCTCTACTAGGACGTCGAATAAACTTGCGCGCGTTGGGCAAATATTCGCTTTTCCTCATGGTTGTAAGCCGACATCGTGCTATTCATCGCGAAAGTTGCGAGCAATGAAAATTTATTAGCCTAAACTGTGCTCGCGCAAAGTCGTCAACCATGAAAAGAGGATCTTGTCCTTTATACGTCATTAGAGTTTGACTTCGACTTCGATTTCCTTCGATGTTGATAATTCTTGCGATTCATACCTTTGAACGCTTCGCTTCAGAGCTATATTTCTTTTCCTAAATTTAAACAATCTGAGGTTCGCAACCACATTCGATATTTCCACGCGATGTCATCCCGATGACCTACGCTGTTGACGACAATCTAACACGTGCTTGATTGAGATCATAAATTGTATATGTATACGCCTGATGAAACAGCATCGCATTTTTCTTGGCTGGTCGCGAGTTCGAAGTCCACGGTTGTTTTTCCTATTTTCACGTAATCGTTTGGCAAACGGCCGTCCAGGCGCGTATGCATTTGGTGTCATTGAGTTAAATGAAAAGACGTCGGATCATTAATGTTTTGACCTACCACTTTCGTGGTTACATCATATATATGCCAGTATACGTCGAACGGCTTCTTTATATATGCACGTGAACTTTAGAACCTGCTTCGATATCATGTGAAAATAGCGTTTCATACCATTTTGAAAAAAGTAATTTTATTTGGAAAATTTTTACATGTGTGCAACTTGAATTAATATTAAAATGTCGAAACGTAAGTGAAACTCGTATATATATATATATATATATTTGCGAGCAGAGAAATATTTTTGAAATGACCCCGTGGATTAATCAATCGAAAGTTCGCACAAAAAAACGAGGACAATCATATTTGCTATATGTGTCTTTTGTTACGAAATATCTATAAATAAACGTGCCCGCGTTTCGAAGATGTTCACACAGGGAGAAACTTGGCCAAAAGATATTCTAAGAGCGGCTATATGGCATTGGAAAAAAAGAGATTGTATTTTCCTCTCTTTTCCTTGAAACATTTGGTAAAACCCTTAAATGTTTCCTCGTTCTTCTCCTTTTTCTTTTGTAAAAAAATTATCATTAATACACAATTAAAAATTTGATTTGTTTTTTGTTATACGTGTCTACACTTTCTCGCTGCTCACTTTTGCTTGACGCAATATACTATGCAAATTTTTGAAGACATTAAATTCCGAAATTCAACAGAAAAGAATATTTACGATAACAAAGCACATCTGTGTGCATTGAAATATAAGATTTTTCTTATGGCACCAACGTAAAGATAGACGTCAGAAGCTTAACTCATTAAATGATAATAGGGAAGCACATAAAACGTGTATTTGCGGCTGCACGTAATGAATGTTGCTTCAACGCGCGATAAAAGTCTGACATGATCTAGTGAAATGTAACAAAACAAATTTATGAGACTGCAGTCGCGATTAGCCATGAATATTCCGTTGTAATAGTACGTTAACATGCATTTGCATATAGTATATTATTCACATCAACAGTTAATAACATGTTACAAAGATTTAAAAAAATTTAATTTTTTTTTTCTATTTTTCGCTTGATCTCCGTCGAATTTAATTTGCTAATCTATAAAAACTGAATATCTTTATTATTTTTTTTTAGTAATATGCTTCTTAGTTCTCTGATATTTCTCTTTCCTTTGTCTTATTGTTTATATCACTCTATATATAGCTGAAGTTGTAACCATAGTTGTGCAAAATATTCTTTCATTAACCTTCAGTTGACCAACCAACAGTTTATTGATATAATTTGCGTTATTTAAGGTTAAGAGTCAATTTGAATTCCACTATTGTCAACGAAGCTCTATATCAAACCAACTGGAAGAATAATGGACAGGTCTGTATACAGATTTTTTGTTGCCCCATGCAGATGATGGAAATTATATTAATATTATTAAATGAATTTTTTGAATTGCTACTTTTTAAATATTAAGAGCAAGAAAATTTTTATACCTTTAGCCTTTATAATCTTTATAATAAATTATAATTTATAGCATTTATAATAAATTTCATCGTTCAGTCAATATTCAGAATCGAAATTCTACTATATGATTTCCTCATATCATACGAATCAATTCACGCGTTATATAGATTAGGTCAATTTTTTTATATTAAAACTTATACTCTCGCGTGAAAAACTAATTTGTGTTAATAAAATATATTTTATTAACCCTGCGTCATTATGGTGGTAAAATGTTACACGCACGTTGGGGCGAGTCATGATTATCCGATTTGGTCCACCTTCGCAGTGTCAACTTAGGTTTTGGAAAGCTAGGTTAGCTTTTATAGAACAGTAGTCTCTTAATAATTTAATGAAATATTTAATGGCTTTAACAACGTCTCGGGTCGCCATGACCCAGCCTCAATGACGCCGGGTTAAAATATATTTTCACAGTTATTGAAATACATTAAAAAAAAAATTTTAAGTCAATACTGACAATGAGTTTAAAGAGAAAGACAACAAATGTGTGATCAGTAATACGAGCTTTCTCCGCTTAAAATCTTCTAATAAAACTCATTTCAAATAAGAGAATAAGTTTGCCGCTTTTAATTTTGGCTTAGCTTTGAATTTGAAACAGACAAAGCTTATTAACCAGCTCTATTCTGAAGTAACTATGAGCCGTATTCTGAACCTGCACATTTAATTTGAAATAGCGGCTACCTGCTTTATTTATCTCAAACGAAGGTCACGTACAATCTTATTTCACGTTGAGTATCGGATGGTCACATTTAGCGCTAAGTATGCACTCAGACAATACAGACATATGATGCTCTACATACAGGCCTGCGGATACTGTAGTCCATTAACCGCAATAGTGTCATGCCTCTAGAATGAAGAATAAAATGAGAAGAACAAAAGTAGAGACCGTTTGGCTAGTATTCTCTAAAGAATCTCGAACAAGAATAGAAATCAGTATATGTGATGAAATTGTGCTATAAATAATATAACAGTGGATGTCAAGATTCTATCAACATATATTGTTGTGAAAAAAACTAAAACCATTATTAAATACTTTCAAGAAACGAATCAACTAAGTGACAAAAAAGTATATTCGTCAAAAGTCATATTTACTATTGTATTGAAAATGTAACATTCGAAAGAGCATAGCAATTTATATAATTAAATTTATGTAGTTGATCTATCCATGTCTCTTATTCGATAATAATTTTACGAACATATCATAGTAATAGTTTCAAAACTATATAAACATTATATCGATTCTATATAGCAATATACAAAACATAATTATTTCATCTCTTTTACTATATATCTATAATTCTTATTATTAGGTTTCAGTAAATTTTTCTCTATGTGTGTATATATATGTGCCTAATGAGTGCAATTATTGATAGAGCGTTTTTACAATAATATTTAAGTATGCAATAATAGTGTATGATATTCTCTAATATGTAATTTTTAACGTTGTCCTACCAATTCAATATTTCAAACATTTGTACAATATTCGAAAAGATTACATTATCTAATATATAAAATTAATATTTTAAGATGTCAATTTAATGTTCTTTATTTATCGGATGATGAAATTTGTATGGTAAAATGGAAAAGATAGACCACAAAATATAACATAAACACATAAAAGTATTTATTGTACAATGTACATAGTATATTATGGGAGAATGGAATGGGAGATTTTAACACAAATGTTTCATAATTAATTTGTACAGATTATTCAGAAAATTCCAATTGAATGTGCAAGACCTGCATAAATATGTAATGTCATTGCACCCATGAAGAAAGTGGTAACTGCCTTAATAATAAGTGTCAACCATGGACCAGCTAATAAAAGTGATGAAAGGAAGTCAAACACAAGCGACCTGTATACTGTCAGTAGAAGCATACCAATTACTATAGGAAATAAACCGCGTCGTAAATCGTGTCTGGACCATAACCAAACCAATGTTGCAGTTGTTATATGTTGTACCTGTCAGGAAAATATGACATAAATTTCATAAATTTTCCCTAGTGAATTTCATGTGACATGAATGACATGAAAGTTGTCTTTAATTTCTATGTATCAAATATGAACAATAAACTCTTACCAAGTTGATATTTGATTCAAGACTCTTTTGGATATATTTCCAATCAAATTCTGCGCCACGTGCACCAACCCAAAGTAATAGGAATCTTGTAAGTAATACTTCTGCTCCCGCCCATCCTATACCAGCGGTTAAAACTTTGGCATGACCTTTACCTGGAATACTATTTAATACCAGCAAAAATCCTACCAAGTCTGCTAAGTCAATGGAAGACTTCAAAAATTCCTGGAAACATATTTCTTAATTTATTAAAATATCAGTATAATTTTGATATTTAATAATACATACTCCAAAGATATCAAAACCTTCTTCCCCAACATTGTCAGCTGTTGGGAAAAATGTGGCAAGAGCCAGCATTTTTACAAGCTGTGTAAAAATATAAATTCCACCTGCTTGAATGCATTTCCAAAATGCACCATATTCTGATCTGAAATCAATTTACCTTATCATTTGCACCATTTGTTTAATTTAGGTTAATATCAAATTCTTGATATACTTACAGACCGGAATATTTGTAAGTTAAGTGATAAGGTACATATACTAAAGCTAAACAGTTTCCGAAGTGATATAACGTCATTTTTCTATAATGTTCAGTCAGTTTGCGGTACTAATTGAGGAATGATCAGTCAATCATAATAAAATTATTCACAACACACAATCATCATGAACAATCAGAAACCATGATGAACGATGACTAGAAATAGGTTATTCGTTGCTTTTATTAGTTCTGAAATCTTCGCTATGTGTCGCTACTATTTCAGTTTCATTCGCATCTGCCATGAAATATGCTAACTATAATGATAAAAGGAAATTAGTATATTGTACTGTAGATAAAGAAACATTCTATCTATTTTTAATATGACTTTTCATACTATCATTATGACTTGCTATGGCTTAGGCCCCTTGCACAATGCCAGGCAATAAGAATAAAAATAGACCAATCACAATAGATTATTCTTGTAATAATCGATTGTGATTGGTCTATTTTTATTCCTATTGCTTGTTGCCTGCAAGGGGCCTTACATGGGATTCTTGGGACTAGCAGTCAATATTTTCTCTGTAGGTAGAATCTCTGTAGGTAAAAAGGAATTCTACTCATTCGATTCTAAACTTCAAGAGAGGCTTCATCGGTATATTTGAGGAACGTGTCAGTTATGTAAAAATTTTGTCAATTAAAAAGTGTAAGTTGCGTTTTTAAAATTAAGATTGATACAATATATTGTTATTTATATTTGAGATATGTGAAGTAGTTTGATTATTTATAAGATGGTTCAGAAAAAAGAAATCGTTGAATATATTTAATTGTTAGGTTATGGAAAGTGTTACGAGGATATTTATAAATTCTTCTATATAAAACATTTTTAATATTTTTATTAAATTAAAATGCGAAGCTTATACTTTAAAAGTACCATTCGTATAGTGATGCTTCGAAACAGATTGTTGTTTATAACTTCGAAATATAAATTGTGTCGTGAAATTTGACAGTTATAATAAAAGAAACTTTACCAAGGGTATCGTACGCGCATTCTACTGCTATCATCAAATTTAACCAGCTGACCCTTTGTAGGGAGAGATTTTCTCTGATGCCACATTGCGGACCCCTCTTTTATATTTTAACCCCTTTGAAAGGGGTACCATCACCCCTTTCCTATAAAAAGGGGTAGCAGCTAAAAAAGGGTGTTGCAGCAGCAGAAGTATTGACTATGTTTCTCCTAAGCAATTTGCAATATATATATATATATATATATATACATTAAAGTTTTCATATATATTATAAATAAATGTTATGTAGCATATAAAAATTTTCATATTATTTAAGCTAGAACCAATGACACTAGTGAATTAAATATTGACACAATATCTTTTATTCTTTACTGCTAGTAGATGTTAGTATGGTCAAAATTTTCTCCAACTTACAGCTGTAGATAGTGGGATACAACCCTTAGTTCGCAGGATTTAGAATACTCCGTCAGAGCATGCTCCGTCTTCCTGAGACCGCTGACTGCTGTCCCTTTCCAACGTTTCTAGCAGCAGATACGCTCCTAGGGATTGGTTGAGAGCTGGTGGTGGTTGGCCAGGATCGTATTGGATCTACCCCACGAGCTGCTCTACGTGGGAAGGGTAGCTCAGTTTGCCACAGGCTGTTGTTGAATCTGCCTCGTAGTGTACTTTTTATCAAACAGCTGTCAAGACAGAATTATTTGGTGGCAGTGGTGATTTTGAAAGTGTATAACAGTTTTAATACATATATTGCACTATAAGAAATTATATTTATCCAGAATACATACATAGTATGTTGTAAGGAATCAATATCTTATATATTGTGTTTTATTTTCTTTACATCTATTGTTCTTCATATTTTTTTATATCTGTTCACATATATTTTTATAAATTATTTTAACAATGCCTGTGTAATGGAGTCAATTTTGTACAAAGCTTTATTCCATAAAGTTCAAAATTTAATTGTTTTAATCTTTATCTAGTAAAATAAACAGATGTCTGAATAATATGTGAGCAAAATTGGACACTTGTTAGTACAAATTTTTCTATTAGATTATTCACAGATATATTTTGGAAAATACCACAAATATTTTATATTGTTGCATTATCTGTAACTGCAATATTGAAATCACCCATTACTTTCTAATACTGTTGAAGCAGATACGGTAATATTATATACTGTGACTGAGAAATGTGTGATTTCTCCCCTTTCCTATTTCAACCCTTCATCCTTTTTTATCCTTTAGTGAAGAGAAAATATCCACCCTTTCATCTGCCCAACCCTCAAAAATAGCTTCAATGCTATATACTGTAGTCTCAATGTGCAATATACCATTTATGGAATTGAATTTATTTATTAAATAGACCATCTTAAACCAGATCCATGATGAATAATTATAAGTATAATAAAAAGTGAAATATATTAAGAAGTAACATAAGTACATAATATATAACTTGTATTATATAATGAAATAGCAAGGTTTCTCTATCAACATGAAAGGATTCTTTTCAAAATATGTTTGGTTAATATATGTAATATAAAAATATATAATATAAAATTGTACTTTCCATGAGAGAGAATGGGAAATGGGTGGAGCTTATATTCCCTCCTACTTTCCATATAAGACTCTGGGAAAAGGATAGTCAGTTTTACAGTGAAACTCAAGGGTGAAAGGATATATAGGGTGATATCTTCTTCAGTAATTCAAAAAAGATAATTTTATATATTTTTAGTTATTTTATAATATAAGTACAATGTGATTTCATTACTTTATCTTCATAGCATAAATTGTATATTTTTCAAAATTATTATTAAATGACAGAATTTAAGCAAATCACTTTAAATTTGTGGTATATAATATTAATTATTTGTGTGTGTATGTGTGTGTATTCTAAAGGATATGCTATACAGGCAGAAGGTAAGATAATTTATTTTTAATTGTCAAGTTTCTTCTATGTCTAAAAGAGAAATCATTTTTAATATTAAGTAGCATATTAATAATGACAGATAAAATTATCATGGTTAATTTTATGTTGTAATGTGACAAAATTTGGCTGATATTAATTATTCTAGAATATTTCCTTTATTTATTATATACATAGGCCTATATTTTGAACTCTCTTTCACCACTAGAAGTGACTATAAAAGTGGTGGCTTACAGTCAATCGGGAGACTTATAAGCCATTTTTATAGTCATTTTTAATGATAAAAGAGAGTTCAGAGTATGAGCCAATGTATCTCTTTCCAACTTTTGTGAGAATTATTAATTAACACATTATTCATCTTATTTGATTTAAATTTGATAAATTTTTATATAGATATAGATATTTAGATAGTGTATTTTTATATAGATAATTTTTCGAAATAAATATATATTCCTGTGCTATTTTTGAAAATATTGATTTTTGGAGTCCCCAAAGACTTGGATACAGGTTTCAAATGATGTTCGTACGATGGCGCTACAATTGATTTCTCACCATACATATATTCTAGCAGACGTAATTGTAGTATCTCTTAATTACAACAGATGACAGGCTATTAACTTTATATATATTTTACAAAATGATTTTACATAATTTCAGTATGTATTTAGGGTGCTATTCAAAAACAAAACGAGCTTAGTTTAATCGTAGTCTAACAATAATATAAAAAGACTGACATTTATATTTAGAAACATTTTTTTATAATTTAGTCTTATATTAAACTCAGCTTAGATTTAAACTACTTGTAGGGATAGGTTGGTTTAAGCTTTTAACTGCTACAGGCGTATATATATGCCCTGATATATATATTGATATCATCAAAAATTCTCTTCCAACATTTTTGTTTAGCCTTGTTCGTACTCGTGTCCGTACATCTTTATTCGATAATGTTCTTTCTTTCTAATATCGAATCCGTCAGGAAATTTTCTCCTCTGTGACCCAAATAATATAAGATCCTACTATGAATATCGCTCAAAAGGTTTAATCTCCTTAGACCAAATACCAAATGTAAATCATTTAAAAAAAATGTTTCCGAATAACATCCATTTTTAGTTTATTGTTAGTCCATGAATAAGCTAGACTCTCGAAGGACTAAGCACACAAGTCAGGACCAAAGTAAAATTATTCCGTAAGATTATTACGGAATATTGCTTCTGAATAACATCCATAACGTTTAAAGTAATTTATTCTCATAATACGAATAATGAACTTTTTTCTATTAAAATAATAAATAATGTAATGTAACAAAAAATGAACAAGTTACACTTATTATTTATAACATCGCTTCTTAACTATTATTAATATTCACTCGATATTTGGTTCATTATTATAAAAGCTACGTTACGAGATGAAACCATCTCACACTAATATTCGATAACTCATTCTTTTCGTTCAAAGAAATTGCCTATTCTTTATATTTTCACCAAGCGCGTACAAACGACTCGTTTGCCCAACTAGAAGCTTTCCATTGCTTTTCTTGGACTTACCTTGGATTTAGATTCGAGGGGCTGAATCCTGGGAGTAAGGACACGGACGTCTCGCTCTCTCAATCTCGAAGTGAACGTCTTTGTCGTTTTCCCTCTTCTTGACAGATCCACGTGTTCGTCGAAAGCATGTTTGCATTTCCCTCCCTAGGGATGCTTACGGGGCAGCGCGCAATTTCGGAAAGCCGATTTCAATTCCGCTCTCCTTTTTACAGGGAGAAACGAAAGCACGAGTGCGAACCGCGCGGGATTACGGGAATCGCGTAGACAGGCTCGTGAACACGTGCGAAAATCTCGTGTCTCGACGTTTGCACCCACGGCATCGATCGTTCTTCCCGTTTAGCGCTTCTCGTCGAGAAAATCGGATCTCTCCAATTCTCCCTTCATTTCTTCGGTGAGTAACGCTTGACTTGCAAAGAAAATGAATGATGTTGCGATACCTCTGATTTACAATATAAAATTATCGGATAGTGAATTCGTCAAGAAACACAAATAATCACGAAAGTGTGACATTTGTCTAATTTTGAACTTTATTCCACCTGTTTCGTTATATATTATTTATATAACAAGTTGTTTTTTCATGAAATTTTAAAATAAAATTTTCTGCTTAAAATTTTCTATCTATCTATCTCTCTCTCTCTCTCTCTCTCTCTCTCTCTCTCTCTCTCTCTCTCTCTCTCTCTCTCTCTCTCTCTATCTCTCTCTCTATCTCTCTTCCTCTTCTTGTGATGTAAAACAGAATATTAAATACGTAAATTATTACTATAAAATTTGTTCACGTCGCGTCGATTATATTGTTCACACATTAAGTTGAGACAGACAGTCTCAGTCAGAGACATATTTTTCCATTGACGTCGAGGCAGTGTATAACGATGACCTTCGTTTCCGTTTCCGGTCTTCATGATTTTCGCACCGTCAACTCCATTCTTCCGTGTTCTGCCTCCGTATGTTAGCCCCGTCTTCTCCCTTGCACATCGAAGGTTTCCGCCCCTTTATGTCGATTCTCGAAAACTCGATCTCTTAAGGGTCCTTGTCATTTGTAGTTTTCGACATCATCTGCTTCTTGCACGAAAAAGCTGATCTTTTAATAAATATTGTTCGCTCTTACATGTACAGTTTTTGCGCACATACATATTAAAGAGACATATCAGAGTGAATATTGCAATGAAGGGAAAAACATAATAGAAAAATTCACAGAACTACTTTAACAATCGGACGAAATTCTTCTTGGAAAATTCAAGAGAATCGCTTGTTCCCTAGACGCCCGCATATCGCCAAGCTATCCCGACGCTGGGACACGAGAAATTCCTTGGAACGATGTTTTCCATTCCCCGTGCGCAGCGCATAAACACATTTTTATATGACAGAGAGGTTGATGTATCTTTTCCACTCGCCACTACGGAAAGGAATAACGCCCTTTGTTCAGCGCTGCTGGCGAAGTCGTTGATATTCCACCGGCGCCTCCATCCTTCTGGGACAGCCTCTCCCATCATCCGCTCTTACTCCTTCTTTTACTGTTTTTTGGTTCTATAATACTGAGACGGAGTACTAGTACGGAGAAACGAATCCCGGATTGCGATGTAGGAGTTTAATAGGACATAGGTTGAATCGAATGGAAACCTTTAAGTGGGTTTCTTCAGAGATCTTCGTACGACGCAAGAATCCGGAAGATGTTCAAAAGATATCTATATAAGGCATCTGCAAAATTTTTGCATATCTTAGAGATTTTTTTAATTTCTCTGTCGTGTTTAGATTTTGTGAAATTACGTGTATTTCAAAAAGAAATTTTCATTTACGTTCTGTTCTCGAGGATACATTTATGATATTTCGTTACATTAAATTGCGGTTGCTTTTCTCCTGTTTAACGCATCGCATTAATACGTCGTAATATGATACGACAATCGTGATCACGCGCTATACAAGTCTATCAGCGTCGTATCAAGATTGTACAAAAGGATCGTTGCATTTATTTGATAGTAATAAAGAAAGAGGATGGTGGGGGGAGGCAAAGGAACGATCTCAACTGCAAAGGCGCTTAATGAAGTAGACACCGGATCGTGGCGTAACTTTCAAACGAAATCTTTGATTGGCCATTAAGCCGCGATTTACATATTTGAGATCTGGAAGGGAAAAACGGCAGAGAGGATGGGCGAGAAAAGTTTCTTTTAACAAGCGTCTCTTTTATTATTTAACGTCTGAGATGATACTGCGCGAAAGTGATTCCAATTAAAGACATATAATTAGCCGATGTATAAAGGCGAGTATCGAATCTCTTTACGCACTTATTGTTGTATTGTATTTCCAGAATAACGTCCGTCTCACTTTAGTCTCTCGAAATCAAGCAGCATGCATGCATAAGGTTTAAAATGGAGCTGTATTTTTCTCATGACGCATGACGCAGCGGGAGAGCGAAATGCTGCCTTTGAATATTGCCCAGGCCGTTAAGCATTATTAAAGAATGCTTTTAACATTCCAGATATCGCTAGCTTGTTTGTGTTTCGGTTATCGGCGCGATCCGGGGCTAAGGACTGTCCTTAAATGTGCCGTAAACAGGCCCGAATGAAATAGAAGAAAGAGGCGAGCGAGTCATCTCTAACTTTGTAAGGGTGTCTCGCGCTTCGCCGGCCCGACCGCGGCCAATAAAAACTTTACAGCCCCGTAATGAATGCAAGAAATAATTATCTCATGAATACATTAGTTTTAGTATCTCCCGACACGAACACGGCCCGTAAAAGCGGCATTGGATATCTTGACCTACGATTTCCAGTGCGTGCCTGCTTCTCTACGATCCTTAATCGCCCCTCGCTCGCTCTTTTTCTCTTTCTCGCTGTTCACTCGTTTTCTCACTGTCTTTCCTTCTTTCCTTCCTTCCTTTCTTCAATAGCCGATATCTTATCGAAGAAAATGCCGTATTGTGCATCAAACGTTCTCTTCGAGACGTGTTCGTCGGATCCGTTCATAAAAAATTGACACATTGTTTTCGTCGTGAGCGACATCATTTTTTAGCAATATACGCGACATTCACGCGATGTTCCGGCGGTTGTAGGAGCATTGTTGATGTAATAACAGCTGGTCCCCTTGCTATTTTCGTGAATTCAGGAGCTTAAGTAACGATAAACAACGCGTGGACGATGTAGACAGATCGCGTGGGCGATGCATTTGGTTCAGGAGGAGGGCCGTTCGTTTTGGCTGTATCAGTGGAAACCCTTTATGTGGATATCCTGAACCGGTGGGGGAGAGCGACGAGGGAGGATGTCAGTTAGGTAGGAAGGGAGGTGCGCGTCGGTGCTGTGGCACGGAGTGATTGATCGTCGCCTCGCGACACCTCTGTGTTCTCGTAGAGTGGATAAAGGGGTGGAAAAAGGAGTGGAAACCCTTTCACGCTTTCACGGATCAGTCACAGGATCACGTTCTCGGGCCATCCCCTCGCCCCTTGGTACACGGGACATGCATCACCCTGCCATCCACCTCCGCTTCCCTGACTTCTGCGTTTGCTCGCGTCAATATCGCGAGATCGAATCTGCAAACTTCGCGCGAAGGAAATTCCTCGTCTAGCGTGTCACATCGGTACCGCGTATATTCGATATTTTTCGATATTTTTAGGTTATATAGGCGATATAAATTTGCGGGAACTCTTGCACGTTTCTGGATGGGATGCTCGGAATGGGCGATTTAATTCGACGATTCTCACGCGCGAAAGAGCGCGAAAAGTTTCCGCGTCGTAAAGTGAATGTGAAATCGCTTCGCGATTTTTCGACATTTTGAACGGCGGCGATCCTCATTCTCGCGGCGTGCCCACGCGAATTTATCACGTTCTCAAAAGAACGGCGCGAAGAAAATGTCGCTATCATTTACGACGCGCATGCTTCATCGGAAGCTCACTAGCGGGTAGACGACGCCGGCTCATACATCAGACACCTAATTCCTCCTTTCGCTCAAGTGTTAACTCTTATATCTTATCCATTTAGAAGTTCCATTTGGCGATGTCCGCGCGACCGGTCGTCTTGTCATTCCTAAATTGACGAGCCATTATATGTCGTTGGTGTGTCCGCACTTCTCTCGCACACTAGAATTATCCGGCGAAAACAACAATTTACCAAAGAGTTATTCGGACGTACAATTCGTCCTAACATGTCTGATCGCGTTGATGAACTTTGATTATCAGGCCTCGTGTAAATCGAGGGCTTTCGGAAACTATCCTCTGTGTCATCCTTAAATACGATTGCTTAATTTTGAATATTATCGATTCGATCTCCTGTGATATATCTTGGGGAAGAATGGAACGACTTATAGATATTTTGGAAGAAAAATACTAAATTGCGATTGTGTACAAACTGAAAATAACTTCGCTGCTGTACTGCACAGCGCGATTAACATTAGTATTACCGCACGGAGTAATACCGCACGATACTTTTATAGTTTTCTAATTATAAAGTTGTGCGCGGTTTCGCGATCGATCGAAGATAGCTTTTAGTCGAACGACGGCCTCGGCAAATCAACTATGAAGAATTGTGGAGATACGGAAAGCGAAATTGGATATTGCTGCTAAATATTTGAAAAGCCTCCGGATCCGTAGAATTTCCTTGATATCCCATGAGACCATCTGCGTCTCGCAAGTTCGCCGGGAATCTCCCCGTCCTTCGATTTTCAGCGATCAATTAGCAAGAGAGCTTTTTTTCAGCGTCGCTTCATCCGCACTAAAGAAAACCTGTATCGCGTCTTGAAACCGCAATTTTTTTCTATTTTTCACTTCATAATTCGATGGAAATGTTAAACACGAACTAAAACCTTAGCAAACGGAAACTTCGGAACGTTGTTTAATCATTCACTCTGTTATTACTGTTGCTGTTTAATATATTTTTCAGCAAGATATTTGACTACGTACAATTTTAACGTTACAATTATTTAATGCCTCATTTTAATGATAATTTGGCACTATATATAATAAATAACTGGAGCGAGCGGGATATAACTTATGAAATGTATCGCTTCTGAAAAAGTAACCACTAGGTAAAAGGAAAACCTGCTACACGTACATGTTAAAGTTCGTCAGAATCAAAGCTGACCAGTTTTCGTACTTCAACCGAATTACTCTACGACGGCTCGTCTATCCTGATCGAAGGGGACGAGAACGTAGACCTCTTGCTCGGGGAGAATTTTAAAATTGAAGATTCTGGCCGAGAGAGACGTAGGTAGAAGTACGATTCCCATGGTTCGATCCCGGCTCGGTTCGGCAGAATGTGTTTTTCCGCGCCCTCAAACACGTCACATGAATAAAAAATATCCTTCAAAGTTGCCAACCCCAGCGTCTGGCGGGGCCGGTATGTAGCGGCAGTTCCCCGGACTGAAGTGCGGAGCACTGTATATCGGATAAAATGGAAATCGAAGGGGATC